AGACACTGGGGTCCGAATGGCCCAGCATACTTAAACCATGTCCAACATCTTTAGCACCTAACATGCTTCAAAAACATTGTTTTGTTAAAGTTATTTTGACAGATATTCAGGAACTCTATGCTCAACTGTGAGAACACTGCGTGAATCGGCCCTGCGTGAAGCACGTGAAATGTGTCCCCCGCGCCTTTCGCACGTGCACCTCGCGTTTTGTTGATATGGGTTATGAAATGTATATCCCGGGGCAAGTATACCATTCATTTTGGACCAATTCGAGCACATTTACAATCACATAAATATTACTTGCCCATGTTGATGGGCCTATATGAGCAAACATAGCCCTGATCAAGATAAAAGTAATTTATTGTCTATCCGTTTGTTTCGTTGAGCGAAAAGCTATCAAATCACAAGAACATACACATACCAGAATGCACAGAGTAACATACTGTATAAACACTACATAAAACATATTTCGCAGTTCATCAACGGATATGCCAGCTGTCATGAGAAGTAAGTAGTAAGACAATATTTAATCAATTTCATTCAATTTTTCCATTCGTTAGCCTTCCGAGCGGATTTCGCGGGTTTCAATCCCGCCAACGATAAACATTTTTCATGAAATAGTTCTTTTATCAATATAAATGATAGGGTGAAAATGAAGCTCCGTCATTGTCAAGTGGTGTTTAACTAACAATTCAGTGACAAAGAAGCCACGGTGTAGTAAACTTCCACACTTTCAGCCAGGAGTCCAATGAGAGAATTTTGCACTTATCTAGAACTATGATAGTTTTACTCAGAATGTTACTCAGATTTTACGATAAAACTGATTACCTTTCTCCAATGACATAAATACCATCAGGTTCGTGTCATAACATAAGAGCTGACCTTGGTATCGCTTCAAATATTACATCTGCTAAATATAAACACATCTATGACTTACTCTCTCATACAGAAACTTTTTTTATTGTTAAGTAATAAAAGTGGCGAAAGAAACTGTACTGTATTTTTTTAGTAATTGCTAGTGGCTGTCAATATCAAGTGCTAACTGTTTGATTGGCATTCGAAGTTAGTGAGTAGGTGCAACTCTCCAGCTTGATAATGGCGTAACATTGAAACATCGTACACGCAATAAACCAGAAGATGTTGTCCAATAATGTGTACGTTTTCTTAAATGTCAAGTGCTGTCATGGCCAGGAGTGAACAGCAGAAGACAGCAGCGAGTTGGGCTGTCGGATGATTTGGAACTGGAAGAGTTACCTGCCCCTTTTGTTCACAGGACCATGGCAGCCTTTCCTTCGAGACGCCTCTGGGTGGGACAGTGTCCGGCAGGTGGTTGTACCACGAGGGCGAGTCAGGCCCTTTTCGACCAACTTGTTTTTAATCTACTTGATGGCGGTTTGGATTTCTATTTGGAAATAAAAAACGTCAACGACGAACTCCTACCCGCGTCCAATACTATTGTGGCGTCGCGATCTGAGACAGGCTTTCAAGGCACATATGAATATTCTTGAGAGCACTTACATTCATTCTAGGGCCTGTCACATATTGCTGCTATGTATTGTTTGACTTGTTGATGGGGGCATGGGTGGCCCAGTCGTCGATCATGTTTCTTGGTTTGTCAGCACCATACCCATGCTCGTGGGTTTCAATGAAGTGGTAAACGTCTAAGACCTGCTTCACTTCGGGCTTTCCTCCCACATTAAGCTGACACGCCGCGATATAACTGGAATACTGTTAAAAGCGTCGTTAAACCCAACTCACTGACTCAATGGACTTTTTATTGTAAACCTAATTCAGTGTGTATAAATATGTATTCATTCATCTTGTGTCGTCATTTACTGATTTAAGAAATAAAGTTATATTTGACCGTATGTAGGGTTAACCTCTGCGTTTCAATTTGGAAATCCCTTCATTGTTTGTTTTGTGGTCTAGCAGTGCTTCTGCAGCGGGGAACAATGACCTTGAACTTATAACTAGTTCTAGTTCTAGGTGAAACAATGAGTTAACTAAAATATCTGTACGTAAAGGAATTTAGTGTGAAACCAACAAACAACCAACAAATGGTATAAAATCAACACTTGTATTACAAAATTAACTAGGTTTACAAATCCTGACCACTGCTTACATTAAGTAGTACTACATTCCTGGCAACTAATCGTTGTCCAAATACAATGTAATGAACTTCTACTGAATCAGAACAGAAACAATGCAATACCAGTATATTTACAATCATTGTTTTACAATAAATTACACTGCCACATAACATTACATATATAAAGAACATTTGTATTTGCCACGCCATACACCACTATATCCACACCACAACCGGACCAAGGACATTAGCAGGCAAGAAAAACAAACACAACGTAGAATCGGCGAAAGCTTTTCATATAGATAACTATTTCCCAAAGGGTACACCGAATGTGGTGTGCCTGGAGGCTTTTCATGATGGACACGAAAATATAGAGTATTTCCTACGTGCTGTAACCTCCACAAACAGTACATTCAACATACAAAGCTACACCTGTGTTTCTCATGGAAGGATCTCACTGAACCGTAAATGTAAATATTGAACCAGCAATTATATTTTTACGTAAACAGTTCTGTGCAAAGCATTCGTGTCTATTTGGGGAACACTGTCACAATACAAATTTAGTCTTCATATCGCGATAAACACTTTATAAGATTCAATGGTGATAAACACTGTATAAGATATTGTGCATGTTACTTCGTCTGTTCTTAGAAGATCCGTCTCAACAAAAGGGGGTATGCGACAAGTTCATTATGCACGAGGAAGCACTCAAGGACGACAGATTGTCATTTCCAAGAAACGTCCTTTTTTACTTTGACAATTCATTCTACAACCTTCTTCTCAACCCGTCACGTGACTAAACGGTGGCTGGGCGTGGGACATTTGGCAATACCAGCAGGTCAAGTCGTTAAATACCACTTTGCAAGGTAATGCGACTTCGTGTATCAAATTAGCAGGTACGAGTACTCCAATTACCCAGTCAGTATCAATTTAACACACGGAACTAAACCGCGGCCTCAGACCCTGGCGCTTCACTCGTCTCTGAACTCGTCACAGCACATAAACCACATACTTTACTTTGTAAACATTGAAAACATGGTATCTGTTGTGTTGCCCCTGACATATTACAGGTCTATTCCCAGCCACAAGTGGCACCTGTACCTGTCTGCTTTGTGCAGGTCACCCTCGATCCAGTATTGCACATACAAGGCCATGTGTTGACTTCATAGCGATTTAAAGGCTTTATGGTTAAATGATTATGCATCGGGTTTTTAATGGATCATAAATATAACGCTTTAAGTCATGGCCTCGCGGTGCGCAGAATGCATTCTATATACAAAAGGAATGACTGCTACAGAGCTTTAAGTACAGAGCTATCTATATACACATAGGTATATGATGGTAAACGTGCAAACGATCTGTCTGTCGTCTAAGCTCAAAGGCTTAAGGATTGAACGTATCTCAGTGTTGTGTAAGAGTTTAAATATTGCATCATAGCTCAACATTATATTGCAGGGAGCCGAAGGCAATATGAAGCCTACTTTAGTTGACATGGATAAACAGTGCGTCATGAAACACGACAACATGTTTCCGGTTATTTAATAAGTGCACAAAAGTGAGGAATATTTCTTGAAAAAGGTTTATTGTCACACGATTCACACTACAAGTAGCATGTACAAGCGTCAGTTCTATGTGTGAAACATATTTCAGCAAATAAATGTGTGTCACTGAAACATACAATATAACATCCACACACAATGTCAACAAATCGTTCATGTTTGAGATACTTGAGAATAGCCCTGTGTCCCTGAGTTTAAAGCAAATGGTAGTTTGTGTTCATGTTTAAATGCAAAAGAACTTTGTTCGCTTTTAACGCTGACCTTCCTACATTAAAACCTCGCTAATCAGGACCCCGTTGTTTTCAGTCCTTGGCCGTCACGTGACCAGTCACATAGTAAGGTCCTAATTAAGTGTCAATATGCCTTAACTCTACGGGTAAAATGAATGTAAAACTGCAAGTTGTATATTCAGATATTAAGCTGGGTTAAACTTTAATTGCGATTAGTGACTATTTAGTTTTCGTCGTGAAAACGTGTTTTGTTTGGTATGTTGTTTAACGCCGCACTCAGCAATATTCCAGCTATATGACGGCGGTCTGTAAATAATCGAATCTGGACCAGATAATCCAGTGATTAATATCATGAACATCGATCCGGGCAATTGGGATGATGACATGCATCAACCAAGTCAGCGATCCTGACCACCCGATCCCGTTAGTCGCCACCAAATACAAGCGTTGTCGCCTTTTACGGCGAGCATGGGTTGCTGAGGACCTAGAAAACTGTTGCATGAACAATGAGTTGGTAACAATGTATGATTAATTACCTCGACCAAACACAGGATGGGAACATGACTTGAGTCCCCGTTTCATTATCTTTGTACACATCTCTATCCTCTTACAAAACAGGAAGAACAGTGTTCCGCAAATCAACAATACACGTTCACACATGACTCGCACAATACTTTTCTCTAGGAAGAGTATATTTAGATCACCATATGCGACAAAAACATGGAAAGTTTTCACATCCAGCATAGACAAACACTCTCTCTAAAACGTCTACAGGTCTAATTTCGAGATTTCCTGATAGGCGTAAAAATAACCTGAGGCCCGTGAAGATCCGGGTACAGAATACATTTTCAGTAATCCATACTAAGAGGCGACTAACGTGATCGGGTGGTCAGACTCGCTGATTTGGTTGATGCAGTCATCGTATCCCTATTAGTTGAGGGGGCACGGGTGGCCTAGTCGTCTAAGGCGCCGCGATTCGCTCTGCAGAGTTGCGTCCCTTGGGCACGCCAGAAACCTATGATTGTGGATTCGAATCCCGGTTCGCCCCGATTATATTTCTAGATTTGTCAGCACCATACCCGTGCTCGTGGGTTTCACCGAAGTGGTAAACGTCTGAGACCTGCATCACTTCGGGCTTTCCTCCCACATTAAGCTGACACGCCGTGATGTAACAGGAATACTGTTAAAAGCGGCGTTAAATCCAACTCAGTCACTCACTCTTAAATGCTGATGTTTTAAACAAATAATCTGGTTGTTTGTCTCCTGAGAGATCTGTCGGTAATTAGTTCGGGTCTATGGCGGGTATCAGTTGCACTAAGCCGATGAATGTCGACCCTTCGTTGATGTCGATGTTGGTGTTTGGGTAGAGATTCACCATCCGCAGGTCGTCTCCCTTGGAGAGATACGTAATACCTACAACGAACAGGAAAGAAATAGTCAGTTATCCTACAGTGGTCTCTCACTTCATCCAGTGATCACGGAGGACGAAGTGATATTCAGTCCTGGGATAGAATACATCCGCGACGGAACTTCTATTTTCAATAACTGAAAACCGACAAAATCAGTATCCGTAGTACGGTTCAGACTTCATCATCAGTATTTGTCTGTGAATCACGCCTGTTTAGTTATTGAAAACACGGTGCTTGGATGCGGGGGTCAGGTGAGGTGAAATGGGGTTTAACATCGCGTCCAAGATTATTGCACTTATATAGCGACGACTATGCACGTGTGTGTGTGTGTGTGTGTGTGTAAACCCGTGAAGATCCGGGGTAGAATAGGTCTTCAGCAACCCATTCTTGCCGAAAAAGGTACCATGCTTGTCGTAGGAGGCGACTAACGGGATCGGGTGGTCAGGCTCGCTGACTTGGTTGAAGCATATCATTGATCCAAATTGCGTGGATCGATGCTCATGATATTAATCACTGGCTTATCTGGTCCAGACTCGATTATTTACAGACCCCCGTCATACAGCTGGAATATTGCTGAATGCGGCGTTAAACAACAAACCAAATCATAACGTGTGTGTGTGGCTGCTTGTACCCGTCCGGACTCGTGCCGAACTATAGTGCTAGCCCATTGAGATACCATGGCGCAGATTTATATGAATACCCCAATCAGACACAGTACAGTCCGAGCGCCAGACAGGGTAACAACAAGTGCTATCTTTTAACGTTTATTGGTCTGACGCGGCCAGGGATCGAGCCCCGGACCTTCCGCTTTCCGGGCGAACGCTGTACCACTAGACTACGGAGGATGTCGGATGGCCGGGTGAATAATCTGCGGGTCGTAATGAATATAGGACGCCAAGGCTGTTTAAACACAAAAGACTGTTTTCTGTTGGTCGTGCACATGGTCAACACTCCAGGCTGGAGGCTGCCATTTTGTTACATATGGAAATTGGAGAATGGTGAAGGAAACGAAATAGGTTATAATTAAAGTTAAACTAAGCAACGAAACGAAATATAAGACATTAGGCATTAAAAGGCTTTCTGACACTTATTGTAAAGTTATTTCCAGTTCACAAACCTGATACACTGCATGTTTTGAACTTAAAGTTCTGCTTCCTCTCCTTGCTGTGATCGATGTAATCCACGCCATCGAAACACTTAAACAGCTCCACGTCATTCCTCGTCACCAGCAACCCCTCGCGGTACTTGGTGTCATTGAACAGCACCTGGATAACAGGCAGTGAGGTTGTGTCAGAGAGGTTGTGTCAGAGAAGATGTGTCAGTGAGGTTATGTCATCTAGGTTGTGTCAGTGAGGTGTCAGTGAGGTTATGTCATCTAGGTTGTGTCAGTGAGGTTTTGTCATCTAGGTTGTGTCATCTAGGTTGTGTCAGTGAGGTTGTGTCAGAGGGGATGTGTCAGAGAGGTTGTGTCAGTGAGGTTGTGTCAGTGAGGTTGTGTCATCTAGGTTGTGTCAGTGAGGTTGTGTCAGTGAGGTTGTGTCAGAGAGGATGTGTCAGAGAGGTTGTGTCAGTGAGGTTTTGTCATCTAGGTTGTGTCAGTGAGGTTGTGTCAGAGGGGATGTGTCAGAGAGGTTGTGTCAGTGAGGTTGTGTCAGTGAGGTTGTGTCATCTAGGTTGTGTCAGTGAGGTTGTGTCAGTGAGGCTGTGTCAGAGAGGATGTGTCATCTAGGTTGTGTCAGTGAGGTTGTGTCAGTGAGGTGTCAGAGAGGTTGTGTCAGAGAGGTTGTGTCAGAGAGGATGTGTCAGAGAGGTTGTGTCAGTGAGGTTGTGTCAGCGAGGCTGTGTCAGAGAGGTTGTGTCAGAGAGGTTGTGTCAGTGAGGTTGTGTCAGTGAGGTTGTGTCAGAGAGGTTGTGTCAGAGAGGTTGTGTCAGTGAGGTTGTGTCAGTGAGGCTGTGTCAGAGAGGTTGTGTCAATGAGGATGTGTCAGAGAGGTTGTGTCAGTGAGGTTGTGTCAGGGAGGTTGTGTCAGAGAGGATGTGTCAGAGAGGATGTGTCAGAGAGGATGTGTCAGTGAGGTTGTGTCAGTGAGGTTGTGTCAGAGAGGTGTCAGTGAGGTTGTGTCAGAGAGGTTGTGTCAGAGAGGTTGTGTCAGTGAGGTTGTGTCAGCGAGGCTATGTCAGAGAGGTTGTGTCAGAGAGGATGTGTCAGAGAGGATGTGTCATCTAGGTTGTGTCAGTGAGGTTGTGTCAGTGAGGTGTCAGTGAGGTTGTGTCAGAGAGGTTGTGTCAGAGAGGTTGTGTCAGAGAGGTTGTGTCAGTGAGGTTGTGTCAGCGAGGATGTGTCAGAGAGGTTGTGTCAGAGAGGTTGTGTCAGTGAGGTTGTGTCAGTGAGGTTGTGTCAGAGAGGTTGTGTCAGTGAGGTTGTGTCAGCGAGGCTGTGTCAGAGAGGTTGTGTCAGAGAGGTTGTGTCAGTGAGGTTGTGTCAGTGAGGTTGTGTCAGAGAGGTTGTGTCAGTGAGGTTGTGTCAGTGAGGTTGTGTCAGAGAGGTTGTGTCAGAGAGGTTGTGTCAGTGAGGTTGTGTCAGTGAGGCTGTGTCAGAGAGGTTGTGTCAATGAAGATATGTCAGAGAGGTTGTGTCAGTGAGGTTGTGTCAGGGAGGTTGTGTCAGAGAGGATGTGTCAGAGAGGATGTGTCAGTGAGGTTGTGTCAGTGAGGTTGTGTCAGAGAGGCTGTGTCAGAGAGGTTGTGTCAGGGAGGATGTGTCAGTGAGGTTGTGTCAGGGAGGTTGTGTCAGAGAGGATGTGTCAGAGAGGTTGTGTCAGAGAGGTTGTGTAAGTGAGGTTGTGTCAGAGAGGTTGTGTCAGAGAGGATGTGTCAGAGAGGTGTCAGTGAGGTGGTGTCAGAGAGGTGTCAGTGAGGTTGTGTCATTGAGGTTGTGTCAGAGAGGTTGTGTCAGTGAGGTTGTGTCAGAGAGGTTGTGTCAGTGAGGTTGTGTCAGAGAGGATGTGTCAGAGAGGTTGTGTCAGTGAGGTTGTGTCAGCGAGGCTGTGTCAGAGAGGTTGTGTCAGAGAAGATGTGTCAGAGAGGTTGTGTCAGCGAGGCTGTGTCAGTGAGGTTGTGTCAGTGAGGTTGTGTCAGAGAGGTTGTGTCAGTGAGGTTGTGTCAGAGATTGTGTCAGAGAGGTTATGTCAGTGAGGTTGTGTCAGTGAGGCTGTGTCAGAGAGGTTGTGTCAATGAGGATGTGTCAGAGAGGTTGTGTCAGAGAGGTTGTGTCAGAGAGGTTGTTTCAGAGAGGTTGTGTCAGTGAGGTTGTGTCAGTGAGGTTGTGTCAGAGAGGTTGTGTCAGTGAGGTTGTGTCAGTGAGGTTGTGTCAGTGAGGCTGTGTCAGAGAGGTTGTGTCAATGAAGATATGTCAGAGAGGTTGTGTCAGTGAGGTTGTGTCAGGGAGGTTGTGTCAGAGAGGATGTGTCAGAGAGGATGTGTCAGAGAGGATGTGTCAGTGAGGTTGTGTCAGTGAGGTTGTGTCAGAGAGGCTGTGTCAGAGAGGTTGTGTCAGGGATGATGTGTCAGTGAGGTTGTGTCAGGGAGGTTGTGTCAGAGAGGATGTGTCAGAGAGGTTGTGTCAGAGAGGTTGTGCAAGTGAGGTTGTGTCAGTGAGGTTGTGTCAGAGATTGTGTCAGAGAGGTTATGTCAGTGAGGTTGTGTCAGTGAGGCTGTGTCAGAGAGGTTGTGTCAATGAGGATGTGTCAGAGAGGTTGTGTCAGAGAGGTTGTGTCAGAGAGGTTGTGTCAGTGAGGTTGTGTCATTGAGATTGTGTCAGAGAGGTTGTACTTAATCAATATCGCAATATCGCAATACTTGAACACGTTAGTGTTCATATGATAGTACTGGACATTTATCTCCACATTACGTGTGACCGACCTCGAGTTGGAATTAAGGATATTATCAAGAACAGTAATAACGTTTGAAACAAATCTTTGAAATATTTTAAATATTTTTGCCGTATTTCTTCATGTGATGTTGATATTAGTAGTCTGGGAACTGCACATGTTGAAATGAACATTTCTAGTGAATTTCAAAACAGTTTCAAAGACATTTTCCCATTTGTCGCGAAGTGTGCGGGTCAAGTGGGACAGGTCCCCAACCATATCGCGCTGTTCCAGGTGAGACACTATTGCCGATATCCTGATAGTCCTTGTACATCACATCTCTGTCACCTACTGATTACAGCTGAATAACAAGAAAACAGCCTTACCACTATCTCCGCCCCGGGGCACAATTGGATTGTTTTGTTCATATGAGAAGTGTATTGAAAAGTAGGTAGATTATCTTGAAAATATAATTAAAAACACTTTTACAATTATTGGTTTTGTTTGTTAGGCTTAGAACTTTTTGAGCATGCCTCGTATAGTAAAGAATATTATGAAGTTAATTTTGAAAAGCATGGAGTAAGGACCTGGAGCCTCTTTAAATACAAGGCGCAAGGAACAACATAATACTGATGGCACCAATTGTCGAACTCAGCCTTCGTACGTATCTCATATAAGCTTGCAAAGTTCATTCATGTAACTTAGGTAGTTTCTGAGAAACCTTGCCTCCATTGCAGACACTATGCACCAAGTGAAACAGGGAAAACAGATTTTTAGCAACACCAAAGGATCAAAAGGCTCCACAGTTCAGCATGTTGAAAATGTCATTATAACAAAGTAAAAGATGTCCGAGGAATGCTCCGGAAACGAATGCTTCACGTATTTGAGTTTAATTCCAGTTTGTTGCCAAAAAAAACACAAAAATATGTTTTTTAGAAACACCAAACAGCGAAAGGCTCAACAGTTCAACATGTATTTGATGCATCATCAAAGTCTCATCATAAAATAGTTAACGGCTTCCGAGTTATACACCGGAAACGTGAGTGAGTGAGTGAGTTAATATTTAACGTCACATCGGCAGTATTTCAGCCATATCGTGACGAGCCGGAAACGTGACGGACAGACGAACGGGAGGAAGGGCGGACATCAGCCATTCCTTTATGCCCCCTCCCACGTCCTGACGGGAGAAACTAGTTATTTCCCAGTGAGCCTCTTTGGGTATCTTACATTCTCCAGACACACGCGGTCAGCATTTAGTCTCGTGTTCAGCATATTCAGGAATTACTATGTCCTTTCAGTCAGCTAAAATGGTTCTAACTAACATAATGTTTATTTGTATAACAAATCCAACTTGTTTCTCCTTTTGAAGTTCGATTTATTCGGAGAACATTGTGCCCCTGTGAAACTGTCATTGAACTGTTGTTAACCCAACGCACTGAAAGCATGGGTAGGAAGTTTGACACTTTAGGCGTGGTCGTTTCCTCCCGACCCGGGATGTCAATGCTATTCAGAGAGTGACAGAGCAACGTTTATTCACCGAGAAGTCCTTTCCTCGAGAATTAATCCTAATTTCTTGGAAATGATTCTCGTGACCTATAATGCAGCGGCTATTATTAACCTGAGTGTGTGCATGAATAGTCCACGCGGGGCGGACGGATTGAATGCGGGACTTGTGGGAAACATCGCGTGACACACCACGTGACAATGACACTGTCACCCGTTTTTTAAAGGGAACCAGCTGATCAGGCATCAGGAACACTGTCTCCTGGTGTTTGAGAAAACTATATCTGATCAGGTAAAAATATAAAACACAGACACGCACACACATAAAGACACACGGGTGCAAACATACATACGCACACACGAACGCATACATCACACACAGGCACAAACACACATATAAACACACACAGAGACACAAACACACACACACACACACACACACACACACACACACACACACACACACACACACACACACACACACTGCCGCCTTACACTGTGGCGGATATAAAAGATAGTAACATTATCAATGTCTGTATCTAGGACAGTGACCCGGTCAGGGACCCTAGCCCAGGGTGGCAGTCTATCCCCTGGCTGGGCGGGGACAAAAGCGAGCGTCTGACATCTGTGGCACAATTATCGAGTCCCCGGGAATCACTTCACGAAATAAACATGGAAGCCTCAGACTGACGTCAGGAAACTGTAGGTCATAGGTCCTACTTATAACTGCTTCCATTTTTGTCCACTGACCTAATCTTATTTATTGTCTTTAGAATTAAATATATAGTACTTTAATTGTGATACTATCAGTACATGATACTGTACAGTATGGTTTGGCTAATCAATTTAACCATGTTAAATCTACAGGTAACCTAGCTCCATATCGAGCACAGTGTGCGTGTCTCCTACTTAATTAGAGGACATATTCCAATCTTATCTAATCTCGAGTGGTCTGTATAATCAGATGTTTTTTCATGAATGTGTTTTTTTAAACAGGCCATGTCGATGGCCAGATGAGATAAACAGGCTAATTGACAGAATTGTCCAAAGACTATATTTATTTCAAACATCAAAATTAATGTGGCGGTAGCTGTGAGTGAGTGAGTGAGTATGGTTTTACTCCGCTTTCAGCAACAATCCAGCAATATCACAGCGGGATACACTAGAAATGGGATTCACACATTGTACTTATATGAGGAATCGAACCCGGGTCTTAAGCGTGACGGACCCGTGAAGATCCGGGGTAGAATAGTTCTTCAGCAACCCATGCTTGCTGTAAAAGGCGACTATGCCTGTCGTAAAAGGCGACTAACGGGATCGGGTGGTCAGGCTCCCTGACTTGGTTGATGCATGTCATCGATCCCAAATGCGGGATTTTTATTTGACGGCGGTATGTAAATAATCAAGTCTGGACCAGACAATCCAGTGATTGATAACATGAGCATCGATCCACATGCTTCAACCAAGTCAGCGAGCCTGACCACCCGATCCCTTTTAGTCGCCTCTTACGACAAGCATGTTTTGTCTTGGGAAAAGTTAACAGCAATAACACTAGTAGATTATATGATCTGGTTTTCTAAATGTATGTTCACCATCAAGTTTATGTTAATACCATATATTTTGTTTTCGATACTTCGACATTTTCGCGTGGGTTAGAATAAGTTCCACCAATCAGTGCCAATCAGATTGGGTGGACAGGCTAGTTGACATGTCTGGATGCGCGTCCCCATACCCCGACGGCGTGGCCGTTATTCATACTATCAATCACTGGATTGGTTTTACTCGATTATTCATACGTCATTGTCATGATAAGAAACAAACAAGAGTTTGCCACTCACGTGGCTATATCCCCCGCCCCTGCTGCAGAATTTATGACATAATTAAATCTAAACAAACCCTAACCTTTTTTAACCGAGGTGGAAAGATGAGTTTGGAACCTCAGTCCATCTTGTTGCCATGGAAACGTAAAAAATAAAAATTTCTAAAATTTCGAAATAGCAAAAGGCACCAGTTCAGCATGTACCTGACAGACCTGCAAAGTTTGATGAGAAAATATTGAACGGTTTATGAGTTATGCTCCGGAAACGAAACGTGACGTACGGGGGGACGGACGGACGGAGCCCGTTTCTATATCTCCCGCCAACTTTGTTGGGCGGGGAATTACAAGGGAGCAGAACGAATACTCACACTGGTGTAGACGAGGTACACGCCGCTCTCGACAACAGACACACTATTGTCACGTGACATTGCCGCCGGCGTGACATGCGCATTGACCCAGCGTGCTGGATGTAGCGACCCGATGGTCTGGCCTGGACACAGAGAAGGAGAGGATTGTTAGGTGTTGTCCACAGGCCAATTACATACACAACAAAAACTTAGCACCATTACTCCAGCTACATTCTGTGGGGAATCGAACCAGGTCTTCGGCCCGACCACAGAACACCTTGACCACTAGACTAAAGTACTGTCGTATATGCTAGAAAACTACTTTTCTGGCTTCATGTAATAAATACGAGTCATAGGACTATAAAAAGAGCATATATCAAAATAACGCGAATTGACCTAATCTTACCTGTTCTCACTGACATTGTGATTACCCTTAAATTGTACTTTTACGGGTAAAATGATGATAAACTTATAATCGTGTGATGTCATGCATGTATGAAATGGCCTATAACCCGAGGTAATTGCCTAACACCTGTCCCGAGGTGATGACCTCACACCCTCCCGTGCATTCTCACAGGTGCAAATGTCACCGAGATGGGGGTGGTCTCAAAATATTGCTGTTATTGTGCTTAATTGACATGCGTTGATTGGGTAGCAATTTAGAATATGTACTGCATTATATTTGTTTGGAAACAAGATGGAATAGTTAAGAGCTAAGAAACGGGATGAGTATCGGAAGGTTGCGGTTCGGGAATCCAGAAGTATTTGTTGTTCTACAGATGATTTCTTGAGGTAGCATTTATCTCCGCTGATGACGTATATAAATCTGTACTTTTTAATGTTGTGTTATGTCTTGCCTAGAACACGTTACACTCAACCAAGATGGGCACAACAGGGTTGAGCTCACAATGTCTGACTGGCGTACGTAAGACAACGTAACCGTGTTGTGCCGCCAGCACATATGTCTTGTACTTTACTGGTTTCTTATTCAGCCGAATTTTCGTTTCATATGGTCTGAAGTCGACAATGTCATATATTCCTGTATGGTCGCCTTCACACTACTCATGGGCGAGAGTATCTGATTCCCGGACGTCATATTAACTGGCGTTATCCATGACAATGACCCTGACGTTGTTTAAAATGGGCAAAAGCTGAAGTTCCAACCAGTCTATGAGCACATCACCTCCTATAATCTCCTTATGAAAATCACCAGATTTCTTTTTCGCCTCGACAACTAGCACACATCTATCAATAAGCCCCATATCATGGTTTGCAGCATGCCAAACAATGACACGATTACCTTTACCTGATAGTACCATGGGTGCTTTTTGTCCATCTGCCAATAGCCACATGTAGTCAGTGGAATGATTCATCAAGGTAAATTATCTGGACACCCTGACTGTGATAGTTATGAATGGTTCGGTGATAATGTGACCTCACAGACAGGATAGAATATTTTCCATGATAAGTGCTCGGACAACGCCACGCGCAGTGTATCGAAATCCCATATTTGGAGAGCAATAGTTAGTGCAGTACAGACTCCATATCGTGTACCATGGTTATGGCTATGCAAGTGTAATGTAACATGCATCATGGGAGCAATGTTAACCAAAAACAAACCCGCAGCGTCATTTTGTCATTTTAGAAGATGCACACCTAGAATTTTCTCAAAATGATTTTTGTGTGTGGATTAGGTGATCTATGTAGACTACATTATTATCATTATAACGGAGTCACGTGTACATATTTCAATAGTCCGTTTCAGACTGTCATCATTGGACTTAGAATAAATGTCAACTTCCTGTTTTCGCTCGAATTTGTCTCCTGTAAACTTGTCGATAGGACTCCTTGTGACTGAAATACTTCAAACCACAGGTAGGGCGATCGGGATTTACTCGATATTTCAATAACAACAGATCTAGACTGTGAAAGATTATATCCTTTTTTTAACAGGCAAAAAGCAGGTTTCTAGCATTTCCGACAGTTCTTTACCTACCGCAACTCAATATGAATTTGACCTGGTCTTAACATGAGCAACACGTTGAATTGTTTGAGTGAGTGAGTGAGTGAGTGAGTGAGTGAGTGAGTGAGTGAGTGAGCAATATCGTTTTAAGCAATATTCCAGCAATATCACGGCGGGGGACGAGATAAGGGCTTCAAACATTGAACCCATGTCGGGAATCAAACCCGGGTCTTCGGCGTAACGAGCGAACGCTAGGCTACCCAAACGCCCCTAAACTTTTTCAAAGAAAACTGGTAATGGTTCTGCTCACTTGAGTTGACATAGCATGGGTTAACTACAGACACATAGATCGTACCTGACAGGGTGGCTCCGCATGGGTTAACTACAGACACAGAGATCCTACCTGTCAGGGTGGCTCCGCATGGGTTAACTACAGACACAGATATCGTATTTGACAGGGTGGCTCCGCATGGGTTAACTACAGACACATAGATCGTACCTGACAGGGTGGCTCCGCATGGGTTAACTACAGACACAGAGGTCGTACCTGACAGGGTGGCTCCGCATGGGTTAACTACAGACACATAGATCGTACCTGATAGGGTGGCTCCACATGGGTTAACTACAGACACAGAAATCGTACCTGACAGGGTGGCTCCGCATGGGTTAACTACAGACACAGAGATCGTACTTGACAGGGTGGCTCCGCATGGGTTAACTAGACACATAGATCGTACCTGACAGGGTGGCTCCGCATGAGTTAACTAGACACAGAGATCGTACCTGACAGGGTGGCTCCGCATGGGTTAACTAGACACATAGATGGAACCTGACAGGGTGGCTCCGCATGGGTTAACTACAGACACAGAGATCGTACTTGACAGGGTGGCTCCGCATGGGTTAACTACAGACACAGAGATCGTACCTGACAGGGTGGCTCCGCATGGGTTAACTAGACACAGAGATCCTACCTGACAGGGTGGCTCCGCATGGGTTAACTGGACACAGAGGTCGTACTTGACAGGGTGGCTCCGCATGGGCTAACTAGACACATAGATCGTACCTGACAGGGTGGCTCCGCATGAGTTAACTAGACACAGAGATCGTACCTGACAGGGTGGCTCCGCAAGGGTTAACTACAGACACATAGATCCTACCTGACAGGGTGGCTCCGCATGGGCTAACTACAGAAACATAGATGGTACCTGATAGGGTGGCTCCGCATGGGTTAACTACAGACACATAGATCGTACCTGATAGGGTGGCTCCGCATGGGTTAACTAGACACATAGATGGTACCTGACAGGGTGGCTCCGCATGGGTTAACTACAGACACAGAGATCGTACTTGACAGGGTGGCTCCGCATGGGTTAACTAGACACAGAGATCGTACCTGACAGGGTGGCTCCGCATGGGTTAACTACAGACACATAGATGGTACCTGACAGGGTGGCTCCGCATGGGTTAACTAGACACATAGATGGTACCTGACAGGGTGGCTCCGCATGGGTTAACTACAGACACAGAGATCGTACTTGACAGGGTAGCTCCGCATGGGTTAACTAGACACAGAGATCGTACCTGACAGGGTGGCTCCGCATGGGTTAACTACAGACACATAGATGGTACCTGACAGGGTGGCTCCGCATGGGTTAACTAGACACATAGATGGTACCTGACAGGGTGGCTCCGCATGGGTTAACTACAGACACAGAGATCGTACCTGACATGGTGGCTCCGCATGGGTTAACTAGACACATAGATGGTACCTGACAGGGTGGCTCCGCATGGGTTAACTACAGACACAGAGATCGTACCTGACAGGGTGGATCCGTCCACAGTGAAATGTGACGCTCGCAGAGAATTGGGCTGCAACAAGAAAACAGAAGGTTGTTGTTATATGGCGAGTCTTTAGTCTTTAGTCTTTAGTTATTCGTACATGTGTAGGCCAGCGGCCGATGGTACATTTAATAAATCCACTTTTCAAGTGGGGGCACGGGTGGCCCAGTCGTCTAAGGCGCCGCGATTCGCTGTACAGAGTTGCGTCCCTTGGGAACGCCAGAAATCTATGATTTTGGGTTCGAATCACGGTTCGCCCCGATTATGTTTCTAGGTTTGTCAGCACCATACCCGTGCTCGTGGGTTTCACCGAAGTGGTAAACGTCTAAGACCTGCATCGCTTCGGGCTTTCCTCTCACATTAAGCTGACACGCCGTGATATAACTGGAATACTGTTAAAAGCGGCGTTAAACCCAACTCACTCACTCACTCACTTTTCAAGTGTCTACTTCCTTTTGATCGGAGGTTTATTTTCCCTACTGACCCAACGCGTTATAAGCGGGCCTATTACAGGGGACATGGCGACGCTTACCTTTGCTGGAGTCGGAGCTGAAAAGAAAAATAGTGAAAGAGTAATGCTACACGTTCTGTCGACTGTTTCATCATGCGCCGAGTACTTCATAACTGTTCCTTGCCTAGTAACTCGGTCAAGTCGCTTTGTGGTGTTTTGTGTTTACTATGTGGTAGGAAGCACTACGTTGTTAATATTTGCTTTAACTAATATGTTGATACGATTATGACATTAGATCGACTCTGGGTACATGTGTGTTTATGTGTGCGTGCGTGTGTGCCTGCGTGCGTGCGTGTGTGCGTCTGTGTGTATATATGTAAGTGTGTGTGCGTATGTGTGTGCGTCTCTGCGTCTCTCTCTCTCTCTCTCTCTCTCTCTCTCTCTCTCTGTCTCGCTGTATGTGCGTGTGTCTGTCTGTCTGTGTACATGTTTGTTTGTTTGTTGTTTACCGCCTCGCTCAACAATATTCCAGTTATATGACGGCGGTCTGTAAATAATCAAGGCTGGACCAGACAATCAACCAAGACACCGAGCCTGACCACCCGATCTCGTTAGTCGCCTCTTACGACAAGCATAGTCGCCTTTTACGACAAGCATGGGTTGCTGAAGACCTATTCCTCACGGGTGGTGTGCACATGTAAGTGTGGGTGTCTGTAGGTGTTTACTGTAATTTATATAATTCCTTTTATCAACAAAATAACAAAACAGATTTGAGATGAAGGCAGTGATAGCCTTGTGGTCCCCCGTCATATCTCAAACACAGCCCGTGCGTCAGCACGAAGATACACACCTGTCATTGAGGAGGAGGAGGAGGAGGGAGCCTGGCACTTTGCAATTCTGTTACAAACTGAAAATACAATACCAGTTGTCACAATACGTTCTCCAGTTCTCCAAAAAGACACACAATTGACGCATTTCATCACAGATCTTCATTTGAACCAATTGCAATCAGCAATTGGAGGTAGTGAGTGAGTGAGTGAGTGAGTGAGTGAGTATGGTTTTACGCCGCTTTTAGCAATATTCCTGCAATATCACGGCGGGGGACACCAGAAATGGGCTTCACACATTGTACCCATGTGGAGAATCGAACCCGGGTCTTCGGGGTGACGATCAAACGCTTTAACCACTAGGCTACCCGACCGCCCCACAGCAATTGGAATGACATATGCATTGGTTTTAAAATTCCGCTGTCATTCCCAGATCAACATCTCCAATGGAAGACGATGCAATCTACCCCGAAATGAATCTTTGTAACTTTGACCTTCATCGTCATACTTCCATCTCCATGTTCATGAAACCCACCGGCAATATTATGTGGCGTGTCACTTGGCGTGTTTCTACATTATAATGGTGGTAGTTAAATTTTACATAAAACTATGCAACACAACTTTTGATGGGGCTATTCGTGATGTCCATGTTTGGATAGAATGCGACTGCTTGCTCGGATAAATTGTCATGTGAACAGTAGCTTCTGATACTGGCAACATCACACGACTGAACTTACATTTGCCACCACCCTTTCTGGAGCCGTTCCTTCCTTTTCTCCTATTTTGATTTTTTCTATTCTTCTTTTTAGGTTTCTTGTTGTCTGAGTCAGCCTCACGCCGCACCCTCCGAGCTCCGGGGACAACGCGCACAGCCCGCCCCTCCTCGCCCGAACTCTGCAGAACACATGCAAACATGACGTGAGACCCACCACGAGAATAGGGCCCTTATGTGTGCTGGGATACAATTGTGCTGCGACGTCATAAAGACGTTTGACGTCAACTTACCTCTGTGAAGATTGCCATGTGTGATGTCATGTATCTTGGTAATAAATATGAATTAAAGCTTGTGAATTTTTGTTGTTCCGACGATGCTGTAGTTTTAAAATATAATGAGTGTGTGGAAATGTGATTGTTTACCCATAAGGTATCCCTTATCTCATGGCTGGTCACATATTTCTATGGAACTTATACCATTTAAACAACAGTTGCCTGTTGACGCTCCACTCAAGAAAAAAATAATAACAAAAATATCGAATACTCCAAGGTCAGTGTAAATCTATAAATGTATTGATGGTGGACGATGGCAGTATCTGTGATGCCAGGGCAAGGCTGGAGCAGTTCGCTGGCGACCTGAACACTGTGCTAGAATGTATATCGCAAATTGTCCTTGATGCTGAAAAGTGGGTATTGAGGAAGTGGTAGCCCTAAAGGTGCACGTGCATTAATTGAAAGGGCAAGAATGCACGTGCACGAGGTGAAGAGTAAGAAGCAGCCCTGGAGTGACACGTGCATCACGTGAAGGTGTAAGAAGTAGCCCTGGAGTTGCACGTGCATCACGTGAAGGTGTTAGAAGTAGCCCTGTAGTGGCACGTGCATCACGTGAAGGTGTAAGAAGCAGCCCTGTAGTGGCACGTGCATCACGTGAAGGTGTTAGAAGTAGCCCTGTGGTGGCACGTGCACCAGATGATGGTATAAGAATTTGCCCTGAAGGTGCACGTGCTCGAGATAAAGAGGTATGTGGAACGGACCCGCCGTGTGTATGAAATAAAGAAGTTTCTATACATTCAGTCCTTGTCGTATATATTATGTCTGGATACGGAAAAAACTTCAAAACTAATTAACAAGCGTGGAATGTTGAAGGTAGCCATCTTTGAAGGCTGTTGGTCTATGCTCCGACTTATCTGCATGCATACTAGGTCCTACGACAAATACGACACAGCCGCGTACACCCCAACAGCCCCGGCGGTATACCACCACGAGTTATCTACCTTTACTCGAACATACATCCCCGACATGACCCACTTTCACACATATACATCACGTGCACTTAACGTCTGCTTACCTGACCAGGGAGAAAGTGAAGGGTCTCGCCAGTGTCATCGTCAAATTCAGTGTCACTATTGTGCACAAATGTCTGCAACCTCTGAAGTTGAAGCACCTGTTCTTTGACTTGCAGTGAACACACGACTGTATACCAACATGCGGCAAGCGTCGTCAGTGTCAGCAAAACACAAACAACAACACCTATATTCACGTAGCCTCTGCACGTGCATGTGTGTTTGAGTGCAATGTCATCAACACAGCACTTAAGGTGGCGTTTATCGGATGTCGAAAATCCACTTCCTAATCGCGAGTCGTCTTGCCTATCCATGGCTGTTTCTTCACAGGTATAAGCGGTCGAGGTAGGATTTTGCACTGATTAATCATTAAAGAATAATTCTATCTGTTTTGGGGGACTTGTCGACATGGACAGATATCAATTTACACATTAGTATTATTCGGGAGTAATTTCCCGAAACTACTACCATAAAAGGACATATGGGCGGAGATTTTAAATGATTGGCAGATAGAGATTGACGACACTGTCCCGTAGGTCTGGGTTGTGAGCCTCATGTATACGCTATGAACATACGGGTCGTTGCTTTGCAGCTCGTTATATCACAGGGAACGCCTGAATGTTGTTTAACGCCGCATCAGCATCGTATTAATAGTAACAGAGGTTATGCTGCCGTATCATGTGACCCTAGTGCTGATAAAGAGATGAGTTTCGGTACGGTGCATATGACCTCTGAAGTGCGTGGAGGTTATTCGGGTGGTGGGTGGGGTGGCGGCTTTGTTGGTCGGGGGGATTGTGTAATGTAGGTATTCTGGCGTTATGGGGTGGAGGGTTATAGGGTGGAGGGTTTGCGGGTCGGGGGATTGTGTAGTGTAGGTATTCTGGCGTTATGGGGTGGAGGGTTACAGGGTGGAGGGTTTGCGGGTCGTGGGGACTGTGTAGTGTAGGTATTCTGGCGTTATGGGGTGGAGGGTTATAGGGTGGAGGGTTTGCGGGTCGGGGGATTGTGTAGTGTGGAGTATAGGGTTGGAGGGTTTGCGGGTGGGGGGATTGTGTAGTGTAGGCGTTCTGGCGTTATGGGGTGGAGGGTTATAGGGTGGAGGGTTTGCGGGTCGGGGGATTGTGTAGTGTGGAGTATAGGGTTGGAGGGTTTGCGGGTGAGGGGATTGTGTAGTGAAGGCGTTCGGGCGTTATGGGGTAGAGGGTTACAGGGTGGAGGGTTTGCGGGTCGGGGGATTGTGTAGTGTGGAGTATAGGGTTGGAGGGTTTGCGGGTGAGGGGATTGTGTAGTGAAGGCGTTCGGGCGTTATGGGGTGGAGGGTTATAGGGTGGAGGGTTTGCGGGTCGGGGGATTGTGTAGTGTAGGCATTCTGGCGTAATAGGGTGGAGGGTTACAGGGTGGAGGGTTATAGGGTGGAGGGATTGTGGGTCGATGGGGTTGTGTTGTGGGGGGAGTCTGGCGTACAGGTGTTATGGGGTAGAGGGTTATAGGGTGGAGGGATTGTGGGTCGATGGGGTTGTGTTGTTGGGGGAGTCTGGCGTACAGGTGTTATGGGGTAGAGGGTTATAGGGTGGAGGGGTTGTGTTGTGGGGGATGGTTTGTGGATATGGGTTTGTTTTGTTGTGGGTTTTTTTTTGGTTTTTTTTTTTTTGGGGGGGGGGGGGGGGCGGTTGGATTGTGGGGTGGATGGTTTCATTCACATATCTAATGTTTGGCCTTTGAAATACCATATTTTTGAATGGAATGTTTATTTACTTTACTGAACACAATATCCCCAAGTCTGAAAGCCCTCATTCTGGGTGCAACAGAAAACTGTTACACTGGATTTCACTGACTGCCCAAATAACGTGTTGCACGTACATCAAGATTTCACGGTCAAAATCGTTTTGCACGAGATCCCTTGACTTTTGAATATTAATAAGACTAACGTTATTGTCCCCCAAAAATAAGTTTGTCGAAAACTTCTTGGAAGACGAAATGCTGTTTTCTAGAAAATCTTTATTTGTATCAAGAAATAGTTGTTTTTTCTGTTCACACACATATTTGTATTTGTGGCATGATAGCGACTCCTCAACGCCGTCCCCTGAAGTTTATCTATTTAGACTAGCACGTCGAGTTTTTCGTTTTTCACATTCTTTACCCGGTTTAATTTCCCAGTTCATATTTTCATATGTTTGAAAGTAAAAAATCAGAAGCCGTTTCAGTCAAACACGAAAAGGTGTCCAATAAAAGATTATTTAAAAAAACTCCATTCACTCTGCATTAAACATAACATTGTTTTTATCTTTGGCGGTGGTGGGTTTGGAATTGGGTGAAGCGCTCGTAAATGTATCTTTAGTAGGTGCAGTGATCCATGTCGGGAAATCAATATTTTACACTGATTACAGGCGTACGCTCTACCACTAGATCACGGAAGCGGTCCATTCTACCGTGAAGATGTAGAGATGCCAGTTTCCATTACGATCAGCGCCATCTGCAGAATAATGCAGTAAATCAAACTAAGCCGAAAGGGAATCCCCAAATCCATTTCATGACCCTCAAGAATATCATTTACATAATCACATTCTCAACCTGTCCTTGCATTAAAATCCCCACCCAATACACAAGCTGTCTCCAACATCATCCAGAATATCTAGAAACTCATTTTGGGATAGAATAACACCGTGTGCACTGTACAGTCTTGTCGTACCATCTTGAGATTTCAGAACGTATGTATGGCACGGGTGGCCCAGTCGTCTAAGGCGCCGCGATTCGCTGTGCAGAGTTGCGTCCCCTGGACACGCCAGAAACCTATGATTGTGGGTTCGAATCCCGGTTCGCCCCGATTATGTTTCTAGGTTTGTCAGCACCATACCCGTGCTCGTGGGTTTCACCAAAGTGGTAAACGTCGGAGACCTGCATCACTTCGGGCTTTCCTCTCACATTAAGCTGAGCGGCGTTAAACCCAACTCACTCACTCACTCACTCAACACGGGAACATGTCTTGTTCTTATTTTACGTCCAAAGTTATCCCACACATGTTCCATTGGAGACGTGTCAGAGGATCGGGCTGACGAGGACAAAACGTTCACATTGTTGGCGTTGAGAAAGTTCATGGTGGTTCCCCGCCGTGTGTGGTCGGACGTCGTCTAGCTGGAACATGGTCCTTAGGTTTTGTACGGGTGAAAACCTGGGCGAAATGCCTCATCCACGAAACATTGTGCCGTGGCATTGGTGTGACAAGAACGAGATCCGCCTTCTGTTGTCCACAAATACCGACCCAAACTATGACGCTACCACCGCCGAATGACACCTTCTCCCGTCGACGGTGAATACAAATCATGTCTCGCCAATACCAACAATATCACACGCGTCAAGTCTTTGTAGACAGTTGCGTCCCTTGGACTCGCCAGAAACCTGTGATTGTGGGTTCGAATCCTGGTTCGCACTGGTTATGTTTCTAGGTTTTTCAGCACCAAAGCCGTGGGTTTCACCAAAGTGGTAAATGTCTAAGACCTGCACCACTTCATTAAGCAGACACGCTGTGATGTAACTAGAATACTGTTTAACGCGGCGTTAGACCGAACTCACTTACTCACGGTCCGGGTGTCGGGACGAGAGCTGATTCTCTCTTGGCTTGCCTCCCATGTACGTGCATCGTCCGTATCACGCATCGGAGACGCCACAGTTGGTGAATATTGTTTCTCGCCGCTTTCAGCAATATTCCAGCAATATCACGGCAGGGGAACACCAGAAATGGGCTTCACACATTGTACCCATGTGGGAAATCGAACCCGGGTCTTCGGCGTGACGGGCGAATGCTTTAACCACTAGGCTACCTAACCCCACTTCCCCTGGAGTCGCTACAGAAAACAGGTGCCCTCCTACATAGAAGTCATGTCTATTCTGACTCATTTTCACACTTTCGTATTTCTTGTCTTTGTCGACGACACAAATACTTTGCAACAACATAACCTACATAGTTTAAGTATTCCCGTAAACTAACTGCATTTATCATATTATCCCAATGAGTGAGTGTGTGTGAGTGAGTTAAAATTTAACGTCTCGACATCCCAATGAATCAGCCTTGCAATACCTGGGTGTGGCTTGACGGTCGTGGGGGGACGGGTGGCACCCGTGGGGCAGAACACGCCCACCTTCTCGCTAACACCTGGTGTCATCACCAGCTGATAGTGATTCACTGTCCCACACGTTCATCATATAGACTCTTGCTTGTTGCTGGGATTTCCTATGAATATGGAAAAGGGTTTTGTCGCTTTTATTTATTTGATGTCTGATTAGACAAACGCTAATACATATGAAGACAATACTTAAAAGTAAATCCCGATGGGTTTTACACAAATTGAGGGAGATGTATGTGGTGGGGATGGGGTTAGTTAATAATAAGACTGTTTTCAATATCTTACAATACGAGTGAGTGAGTGGGGGTTTTATGCCGCTTTTAGCAATATTGCAGCAATACCACGGCGGGGGACACCAGAAATGGGCTTCACACATTGTACCCAAGTCGGTAATCGAATCCGGGTCTTCGGCGTGACGAGCCAGTGCTTTAACCACTAGACTACCCGACCGCCCCTCTTACGATACCAATGACAGAATGTGGTGATGAAATATCGGTTTCCAGTCAAACAAGCGCGTATTCTATACTTGTGGAGTTTTGGTATGTTGATAGTGGTTTAAATCAATTTTATAAAATGCTCATAACGTGAAAGAATTGGACAATTGTAAAACTTGAATTTGAAAGTAGTGTAGAGTAGTCAAGTCATAAAACAAGGACTGACTGACTGACTATGGTTTTACGCCGCTTTTAGTAATATTCCAGCAATATCACGGCGGGGGACACCCATGTCGGGAATCGAACCCGGGTCTTCGGCGTGACGAGCGAACGCTTTAACCACTAGGCTACCCTACCGCCCCCATAAAACAAGGAACAGAAAGCGGATGATAATTTGGACTGCCTCACGGCGTTGGTGCATCATAGCTGATCACCTTTTAGTGAAGCATCCAAGACATAATGTTTTATGTCTCCACATCAAATGACTGACTGTAACCCGGAATCCCCACCTGGAACAGCGGGGTAATATCTCTGCTACAAATGGCTTGTTGTTTGTTTGTTTGTCTGTTTATTGTTTAACGCCGCACTCAGCAATATTTCAGCTATATGAAGGCGGACCATATAACCCAGTGATCATGAGACATCATGAGCATCGATCTACGCAATTGGGCTACGGTGACATGCATCAACCTCGTCAGCGAACCTGACCACCCGATCCGTTGTTCGCCTCTTACGACAAGCATTGTCACCAATTCTACCCCAGCAAAATGGCAATGTTACAAGATATTTGGTGAGCAGGCAGGCAGCTAGTTTGACCATCCAATCCCCTATTGTAGCCGGCTCCCACGAGAAGCATGATGTACTGGTGACATCATCCAGCCACAGAGTCTGACCACCCAATCCCCACTGTAGCCACTCTCACGACAAGCATGATGTACTGGGGACATCATCCAGCCACAGTGTCTGACCACCCAATCCCCACTGTAGCCACTCTCATGACAAGCATGATGTACTGGGGACATCACCCAGGCACAGTGCCTGACCACCCAATCCCCACTGTAGCCGCTCTCACGACAAGCATGATGTACTGGGGACATCATCCAGCCACAGTGTCTGACCACCCAATCCCCACTGTAGCCAGCTCTCACGACATGATCCAGTATCTCCATAGGTGCTTTGCAGGGATCAACGATTTTTATATGTGGTGGGAAGATTGGCTTGTTGTTTAAAACAGAATGCGTCTTCAGGCACCATGTTTTTTCTGAAGCAGCCAAACCTGATTGTTTGTGTACCGGAACATCGGAACATCGAGGATGTCCAGTTAATTTCATTGATTTGTTGCCGAGGACATACTATTTCTAGCCAGCACTTTCACTTACTTCACATGACGATTCGGGGTAGAATAGGTCTTCAGAGGCCTGAGTGGTCAGGCTCGCTGACTTGGTTGATGCATGTCATCGTTTTACAATTGCGGGGATGCTGAGTGTGGCGTTAAACAACAAACAAATAAAAACAAAAAAAACAACTTAAACATGGTCACCCTCCAGACTGTCCAGCCAACAGCATCATCTGTGTTTCACAGGCAGCAGCAGCTCTCTTCCACCAGCAGGACCAAACAGGACACAGCAGGACCAAACAGGACACAGCAGGACCAAACAGGACACAGCAAGACATAGGACACAGCAGGACATAGGACACAGCAGGACACAGCAAGACATAGGACACAGCAGGACACAGCAGGACACAACAGGGCACAGCAAGACATAGGACACATTAGGACAGAGCAGGACACAACAGGACACAGCAGGGCAGGACAAAACAGGACTCAGCAAGACATAGGACATAGCAGGACATAGCAGGACACAGCAGGACTAAACAGGACACAGCAGGACCAAACAGGACACAGCAGGACCAAACAGGACATAGGACACAGCAGGACACAGCAAGACATAGGACACAGCAGGACACAGCAGGACACAACAGGGCACAGCAAGACATAGGACACATTAGGACAGAGCAGGACACAACAGGACACAGCAGGGCAGGACAAAACAGGACTCAGCAAGACATAGGACATAGCAGGACATAGCAGGACACAACAGGGCACAGCAGGACCAAACAGGACACAGCAAGACATAGGATACAGCAGGACAGAGCAGGACACAACAGGACACAGCAGGGCATAGGACATAGCAGGACACAGCAGGACAAAACAGGACACAGCAGGACAAAACAGGACACAGCAAGACATAGGACATAGCAGGACACAGCAGGACACAAGAGGACACAGCAGGACACAGCAAGACATAGGACACAGCAAGACATAGGACACAGCAGGACAAAACAGGACACAGCAGGACAAAACAGGACACAGCAGGACATAGGACACAGCAGGACATAGCGGGACAAAACAGGACAACACAACACAGCATGTTCAAACCCTGAGGCTGAGCTCACTCACAAGCTGCTTCACCTTTAATAACATGGCTGTATTATTGAAGAAAATGCAAACACATGAGTAATTGTTCACCTTTTATTGCACAGCTTGCTTTGACGATTACATACATGTGGACATTGTAATCAGTAACAAACGACAAGTAGTTAGAAAACTAGTGCATGTCTAAATGGCTGGAAAAGTTCGTAAAACTTGTGTACATACATGTATAAACATGAAAAAAGTGGAATAAACATTTCTAAACAATGGCAGTAGAAAGTTCAGAATCACTAGCAGTGGCTGCCAGAGACATGAAGCAGAGAGACGGGTTGGAGACATGAAGCAGAGAGACGGGTTGGAGACAAATGATGGTGGTGAGGGGAAATGGGTTTCAGGTCATCCTTGATTCGAGATTATTTCACATTTTGGTTTTCTGTTTAACGCCGCACTCAGCAATACTCCAGCTTTATGACGGCGGTCTGTAAATAATAGAGTCGGGACCAGACAATCCAGTGATCGACATCATGAGCATTGATACCTGCAATTGGGATACGATGACATGCATCAACCAAGTCAGCAAGTCTGACCTTCCGATCCCGTCAGTCGCCTCTTATGATAAGAATAGTCGCCTCTAATGACAAGCATAGTCGCCCCTTATGACAAGCATGGGTTGCTGAAGACCTATTCTACCCTGGATCTTCATGGGGGAGACAAGCATGGGTTGCTGAAGACCTATTCTACCCCAGATCTTCACAGGTTAAGTGTGTGGCTGCTTGCACTAGTCTGGACAAATGCCGGCTTTATAGTGACGGTCCAGCGAGTGTTCCATGCAGTTTAACATGGGCACCCAGCTCAAGTGCCCCTAAAGCTAACCAGGTTTTTTTTAACATCTGTTGGTATGACAGGGCCAAGGGATCAAACCGACCTTATGCTTTCCAGGCATACGCTCTATGCACTGCACCATTGATGTTGTATGAAATAATAACACTGCACCAAAGACTGTACAAGGACTCGTATTTAAGTTGTAACTAATGCAACATATTACTCCCAAGTTCGTAAAATATATGGACAAGAATATGACAATTTACATACAACACAGCTGTGCCTTGGAGACAGAGTTCATAGCATATCAGAAAAATCTGCACCAGTAAAGATTGTGCACTTCCATTACTTCAAGATGCCATTTCCTTCACAGCTACGAAGCTACTTATCATGCAAGAGACCGACCATTTAAGTGAGTGAGTGAATGAGTGAGTGACTGAATGAGTGAGCTGGGTTTAACGCCGCTTTTAACAGTTTTCCAGTCATATCACGGCATGTCAGCTTAATGTGGAAGGAAAGCCTGAAGTGATACAGGTCTCAGACGTTTACCACTTCGGTGAAACCCACGACCACGGGTATGGTGCTGACAAACCTAGAAACATAATCGGGGCGAACCGGGATTCGAACCCACAATCAAAGGTTTCTGGCGTGCCCAAGGGACGCAACTCTGCACAGATATGTAAGGGGGAGGAGGCAGAGATGTAAGACCAGACACTTGTTCAGCTGCAGCTGTTTGTTTGTTTGTTTGTTTGTTTGTTAATTGCCACACTCGGCAATATTCCCTTATAGGAATGAAGTCACATTGTGAGCCCCGCGCTCTGGTAGCTGTGCATGATGGTTTTAGTACCACTGATGTATGGCCATTGTTTGTGCAGTTGTTTGATGAATGTGTTTCAAGATATCAGCCCTATGTTCAGCAACCATTCTGTTGGCCATGTTTTTGTCATCTAACTCATGTTTTGGATGACCACAGACACTGACCCATTATTGACTATTTAGCATTTTGATGGTCAAACCTCAGTTTCTACAACCATGTAAACAGATGTGATGTTTGGAGGAGACAATAACATGTCTTCACTCCCAGGAGTAAAAGTTGCGCACTGTAGCTCACCTGCACCTGTAGCTCACCTGTATATGTCATCAACGGCTTTTGTCAGTGTTTTTAATAAGATTCTCTGGTACACAGATCTAGAACAATCCGCAGAGGACAAAGTCATAATTTTTGACGAGGTAGAGAAATTCAATAAGGACAAATACGTTTACTCGACTGACTGGTGGGCCGTTCAGAAACTTTGGTGGGACACAAATCTATGATTGATAAGGAAATGTTGTGATCATACATGTTGGTATTGAGTTTTTACCATTGTTGAATGTTGACTACTTGCACTTTTACTATTGTTGAATGTTGACTACTTGCACTTTTACTATTGTTGAATGTTGACTACTTGCACTTTTACTATTGTTGAATGTTGACTACTTGCACTTTTACTATTGTTGAATGTTGACTACTTGCACTTTTACTAGTGTGAGGTTGCCGTCCCCTGCTTGTGACGATTGTTATCTTACTTAAAAGATACAGTCCGTTACTACTTGCGGGTAGAGACTCGAGAAGAAGGCAGTCGGACAGTAACCAGGTTTCACAATGCAAAGAAACATTTTCTACAAAACATTGATGATAGGTCATATTTTATTTCAAGGTAATATTTTTGTTTATGTACGTATTTCTTTGAATTTTAGAATCCAGGATTCTTCTTTGACCAATATGGGTCTTATTTATGCTGATGGCACTTGCAAGTATCAAGAATCAAGTTCACTCTGTGCATACAGAAATACGCCTTCCATGAGGAGTTGTATTTGTACATATGTCACGTTTCGACATTTCGCAGAACAAATGGGTTCATATATTTCAATATAAATTGCCTGATTTATCTGGAAAGGGCAATAGGTCCAAATATCAAGAGTTTGGTGGAACCCACACATCTCTATGACAGATGGATGTACACAGAAGGCCGAACGAGAGTCTCACACACTGGAGAAATCTCAGTAAAGACATGAAAGCATACACTGAATATTATAAGTTAGTACTTCATACTTCTTATAGGACTGTAGTGTGTAAGTAGTCCAAGATTGCTAGGACATAGTATAGGACGGACTGTCCACATAGTATTGTTTCACAGGATGACTTCAGAGCTGAAGTGTCCTGTTTTTATATGTATTAATGCTTTTTCGTATATATACGGGAGACCATAAGTGTGGACGAGGGACTCCTCCAGTGGGAATTCGCGACAGTGACCCTGGAGGAGGACCTGCAAGGACAAGTCCCTCACATGGAAAGAAGCTTTCTCCACGACAGATGGAACTTGCTTGCCCTCCCTTGGACCGCACTGTATACAGAGGACCATTCACTATCCAGGAAAGCTCGCCTCTACGACTACCGTCGAGTCAAGTCACCTTCTGACCTTCAAACTATTATTTTCATTTAGGTCCAGCAGCTTGAGATAGTGAACTAATACCGAGACATGTCGCATGTCCTGGAGATAGGGGTGTGCGAGTTTGGAGAGATGAACAATCTTGTTCTAAATGTGGGCAAAGAAAGAACTAAACCTTCACAATGAAGTCACCTCCTGACTGACTAGGAGACCTTAAGTGCGGATGAGAGACTCCTCCAGTGGGAAATCGCTACAGTGACCCTGGAGGAGGACCTGCAAGGACGAGTCCCTCACATCGAAAGAAGCTTTCTCTACGACATATGGAACTTGCTTGCCCTCCCTTGAACCGCACTGTATACAGAGGACCACTCACTATCCAGGAAATCTCGCCTCTACGACTGCCATAAATCAAGTCACCTTCAAACTATCACATGTCCTGGAGATAGGGGTGGTGGAGTTAGGAAAGGTGAACAATCTTGTTCTAAATGAGGGCAAAGAAAGAACTAAACCTTCACAATCAAGTCACCTCCTGACTTTCAAACTATCGCATGTCCTGGAGATTGGGGTGGTGGAGTCAGGAAAGGTGAACCAAGGTACACCAAGGCATTTAAATGGTTTAAGGCAAAAGATTTTGAGAACAATTCTTGGGACGAGTTAAGACTGCTTTTCTGGTGAGATACCAGCAAAATTCCATGAAAATATATGATAGGCTTCATAGGCTGCATAACAGGAAGCAGAAGACTCTGAAATTTTGAGGAATATGAGTCAAGGAGCCTTAACTGCTGGGATGACACTTTGGTGAAGGATGCTGTCATCAGAAACTCAAAACCTCAGACTAGGCAGTTTATATTGACAAGGCCTCATGGCACCAAGGCCCAGGTCCGTGAGAGTGCCAGGATGGCGGATGTTGCTTTTGGAAGCACATCTCCCTCAAATGTTACAAGCCGAATGATTGTAATTTTAAAAAATTATTTCGTAAAAAGCAGACCTTCTCTGAAGTGAACTTACTGCTTGTATTCAATGTATGTGTCATTACCTATAATGGTTTTATTTTACTTTATCAGAGATGTCAAGAACATGACACTCTGATGTCAAGATCTCCAGCTGCTGTGACCAAGTGGAGTGTGGAGTTGTTGCACATTGTCAGCTTCCAGTCACAACCAGAACTACAACCACTGCCACTTGTCCCCAGCTTCCTGAAGGCCAGCCCAGGACCTTCCAACTCTGACCCATCCTGGAGGTGGGTGTGTGTAGGGAGGAACAGAGAAACATCAATTGTCACACCGACATTCTTTGTGTTCTGAGCCACCATTACAACATTGCCTGGCTCATGGACAGTTCTGACTGAAGTCAGCATCTGACACTAGAACACTAGATGTCCTGGAGAAGGGGGTGGTCGAGTTGTGGAAGGCAAACATTGACGTTCTGATCGAAGAGAAAAAGAGAAAACAATCCTTCCAATGTTCACTCAGTGCATACAGAAATACGCCTTCCATGAGGAGTTGTATTTGTACATATGTCACGTTTCGACATTTCGCAGAACAAATGGGTTCATATATTTCAATATAAATTGCCTGATTTATCTGGAAAGGGCAATAGGTCCAAATATGAAGAGTTTTGTGGAACCCACACATCTCTATGATAGATGGATATACAAGGAAGGCCGAACGAGAGTTGCTCACGCACTGGAGAAATCTTAGTAAAGACATGAAAGCATACACTGAATATTATAAGTTAGTACTTCATACTTCTTATAGGACTGTAGTGTGTAAGCAGTCCAAGATTGCTAGGACATAGTATAGATATGTCCACATAGTGTTGTTTCACAGGATGACTTCAGAGCTGAAGCGTCCTGTTTTTATATGTATTAATGCTTTTTCGTATATATATGGGAGACCATAAGTGTGGACGAGGGACTCCTCCAGTGGGAATTCACTACAGTGACCCTGGAGGAGGACCTGCAAGGACAAGTCCCTCACATGGAAAGAAGCTTTCTCCACGACAGATGGAACTTGCTTGCCCTCCCTTGGACCGCACTGTATACAGAGGACCATTCACTATCCAGGAAAGCTCGCCTCTACGACTACCGTCGAATGAAGTCACCTCCTGACCTTCAAACTATCGCATGTCCTGGAGATGGGGGTGTGTGAGTTTAGAGAGGTGAACAAACTTGTACAAAATGACGGCAAAGAAAGAACAAAACCTTCACAATGAAGTCACCTCCTTCCTTTCAAACTATCGCATGTCCTGGAGATGGGGGTATGTGAGTTTAGAGAGGTGAACAAACTTGTTCTAAATCAGGGCAAAGAAAGAACAAAACCTTCAAAATGAAGTCACCTCCTTCCTTTCAAACTACCGCATGTCCTGGAGATAGGGGTGTCGGAGTCAGGAGAGGTGAACAATTTTGTTCTGAATGTGGGCAAAGAAAGAACAAAACCTTTACAATGAAGTCACCTCCTGACTTTCAAACTACCGCATGTCCTGGAGATGGGGGTGGTGGAGTTTGTAGAGTGGCACTGTGTCAAGCCTGCTCACCCCGCACGCAAGGCAACAGTTCTATTGATTATATTTTCTTTTCTAGTGTTGGACAGTTTACTAGACTCACCCCAGCGAAAATATTTCACGAAGTCGGTGGAGTTCACGAAAAGTTCATGAACAGTTCGTGAAGCCTACGTGAAGTGTTCGTGAAATTTTCATGAACTGTTCGTCAATAGTTCACGCACCTAGTTCACAAACTTTTGTTCACAAACTTTTCATGAACATTAAATACACTTAATGAAATATTTGAAGTTCATGAACTACTGGATTCACCAAATGTTCGTGAACTCATTTCATGAACTATTCGTGACCTCACTTCTTGACCTTAAGTGAAACAAAAATGTGAATTTCAAGGAATTTTTATAAGACTTTTATGTAAACACGGTGATATGAAATGTTAAAGTATGAAGCAATGCACACATTTCTATCTAAATTTACAATTACTTGTATTTGCATTTTCACCAAAAAATATTTTGTTACTTGAGTCATTATAAAAAAATGACAATATTTATGTCCTGGACCCAAACAATTTTGGAATGTCAAAACACACTTTTAAAAAGCAGGTGATATGTTAGATCCAAGCCTTGTGTTGATCAAACAAACTTGAAAAATATTTATTAAACTAAATTACTATTTAAAAAATTATAATATATATGCCCAAATAAGCAAATTTCTTTGTCCCAGTAAGAGGAATTTGAAGATTTTACCTTATAATAACTGTAAAAACATCCTTTCAGTTATCGCTTGGATGGCTCAAAATAAAAATACACATTGTAAGAATGTCATGGAGTTTTGTTTTGTGCCAAAAGCTGGAAGTATCTTCTGTAAAAGATGTCAAAGGCCACAGTCCACAATAATTTGTCTTTCCAGTAACAACTTCTGAAAACATAAAAATATTAAGACCTCCCTTGGCATGACCAAATTATCTTCCTGTCATGCTCAGAGGACATTTCCTGCAGAGACATTTGCCATGTAGGGTTGACAGCATGAGCAGAGAAGAGGACAAAAAAGCAGCATTAAGGTAAAAAAATGTGTGAGAATATCCTTCCCATGTCTTTTCCATAATGCACATTAATCACATATACTATTTGCTATATTTAATAATGTTTTTGTTAGTTAAAAATGGATCAATGGGTAAATACAAGAGGACTGTAAATTTTGGTCAAGGGAGCATTCGTTGCATATAAAATTACAAATTGCACAGTATTTGTCTTTCCTGTAACAGTCTTTCCCATCACTCAGTTTTTTGTTATGGTAAAGACAGGTTTAGTTACAGGAAAGACATTTGCTTGTTATTGGAGTAGACATTTGTCCTCTGAAATGTGAATTTCTTGTTGACACCTGTGCTAAAATAATATTTACATGGATGAAAATGTGGAAAACATTAGATAAAGGATCACATTTGTTACTGTTGGCAATAAATCCAAAAAATGATTATTTTTTTCATAAATTTACCAAACAGTGTTACAGGACAGACATATTTTGTTACAGGAAAGAAATTATTATTTCAAAATGTCAATTATATGCAACAATTACACTGAAGTAATATTTGACTGAAGAATATGTTATTATCTATAAATCAAGATGGACACATTAATAACTGTTTGTATGCATATATGGTTATTGGGAGTGATTATGCTGAAACTTTAATTTATTGTTACAGGAAAGACATTTGCTTGTTATTGGAGTAGACATTTGTCCTCTGAATTAGATAAAGGATCATGTACATAATCTACAGTTTTTAATATAAAAAATAATTATTTTTAATAAGTTTCACATAAAAATGTTACGGTGAAGACAATTTATGAGGATGTGTTTGTTAATGGAAAAGACATGGAAGACATTAGTCCTCTGACACAATATATAACACTGAAACATTAAAACAACAAATGCTCTACATTAAATGTAAATGTATATTCTGTTTCACTTGCATACCGGAATACATAATACAAAGGCTAATAAAGATGCAAAATGTGTCACAGTTATCAAGTTACAGTGGGGAAATAGCATAATGCTTTCATGTTTGGGAATATATATTTAGACACTTGTCACAGTCATCTTTAAATATATTGTTTTTTCCTCATTAACAGAATCAATCATGGGCATTACTAACGCAGAAAGACAAAGAAAGTTCCGACTGAACAGAGATGGTAACCCTGAAAGAAGACAACAATATATTGAGTATGAGAAGAGAAGATATAGAAGAAATAAGGAAACTGGTAAAAAGAAGAGTTTTAAGGACATGACAGATCGTGAAAAGCGACATGCACGAAGGAAATGGAGGACAGAAAAAAGAATATACAGAAAAAAGCTGAAGGAAGATTTGACTTTGACACCACCAATGTGACTCCTGCTCAACCAAATGAAGAACCATCAAGACAAAGACAGCAAAGTGAAAGGAAACGAAAGAAAGAGGCGGCAAAATGCTATAGGGACAATGACAAATTAAAAACTCAGTTAGAAAAAGCAAAGCAGAAAGTAGAC